GCCTTGAAATGTTCAGCCCAACGGTCAAGACGGCGTTGCTGATCGTGAATCAGTGTGACACCACCACCAGCTGAAGGACTCAATGAACACTGGAAGCAAATCGAGGAAGCTACGCACATATCAACAAAAACGTCAGACCGTCACGCGGGCTCAAAACATGAAACGATTGATTTCGTCGACCTCGGTTGCCCTGCTGGACGCCCGAAGAACCCTCTCTCCGGATGACACATATGACAGCGCGCAAATCCCTCAAACATTCGCTTGTTATGTTCGCTCCATGTCATATCATCTTAAAAACCGTCGCACCAATAACGGGGATAGATTTCTTAACTTAAGTTCAGCACAGTTTGATCGTGGCTAGTACGAACCTCACACTTACACAGTGTCAATCGGCCACTTGAACTAATTAACCCTTCAAAGCAGATGTGTACTCCAATTGACCACCAGGTAATCAGCTAGTGTGCGAAAGAACGTCGTCCGTACTGCTCTAACCGTTTGGATTCTGTCTAAGCATTGGTCTGCGCCAAGGTCTCATAGCTATTAGTTGGCTAAACTGAGATACGGGGTATCTGATAAACGTATGTGATTTTAAAATCACCATAATGTCAGACGATAAGGGCCCACGGCGAACTCTTTCATATCATTAGTCATGCACATAGAAGTTATCATGAAACACGGAAAAGGAAATACGAAAACATTCAGCTATACCGACTACTGTACTTACCGTTGTTCTCGGTCAGCTCAGTGCCCAAATCAATCAGATGAAACTGTTCCAGTGGAACACGTTTTTTCACCTTCAATCCCGTCCCCGAACTGGAAGAGGCCGAGGACACAACAGAGCCCAATACGTTACGTTGTTTTTTGCACAACAGAAGCCAGTTGCTAAACAGATAGACAATTCGATCGGAACGACGTGAACGGCCACCCTCGCCCCGAATCTGGACCAGACCATCTGTAAGACATGTAAAATGTGGTTGTTGCATAATAAGAAAGTGCACTGAATTTGTTTGTTACAGCACACAAGGTTGCATTTCGAAGCATGAAAACGCGTTTGAACACAAAAACCCACTGATAGCAGATATCAGCGGATAAATATCTAGTCAATCTTTCAAAGTACATTGGTAAATGATGATGCCATTATTATTATTATTAATATTATTTTTATTATTACTACTGTTTTTTATTTCTGTGAATAAAAAACAATTAGATAGTCAATACGCAGGAAAGGAAAAACGGTAAGCGAACATCATAAAGACGAACAGTTGGGTAGCTGTGCTCGGGTTGGAGCACACAACATGCCGATAGAAAAAACACTTAAAAATTCGAGTGATATCAAAAAGCCACAGGGAACTGTAAAATAAACCATGTCACTGTGTTTCCTGTTGAGTTACAGTGTTGCAAGGTGCTATTACCAGGTGATTTTAGTTGAAACCAAATCCATCGGAGTTTTTTACTACGTTCCACCATCTGAATCATCTAATAGCTTTTCGTTCCGGTGGCTGTCGATCCTGGTTATGAAGCCTTAAAAGGTTCTGCCCATCGATCTACACGGCGCTGATGATCATGAATCAGTGTGCCGTCGGACTCCTTAATCACCAAACTTGCGCTTGCTTCCTTGGACCTGTACTCCTAATTAATCGGAAAAGATTGCAACTATTACCGGTAGCCGCAGCCTCCTTCATCT